TGCGTTCTGCGTGTCGGAGCGCCGAGGGGTCCAGGGAGGGTCCGTGTCTTGCCCAAGGTCACGCAGCTTCCGCTGCCTGGGAGCCGCGGGCCTGGCGCGGAGCTGGTGCGGGGGCGGGGGGCGCGCGCGGGAATTTGCGCGCAGGGGAGGATGCTTAACATGGAAGGAAAATGGGAATCCGGTGGGGCTCGTCTCCCTGGGCGTGCCGGGCACCGCACCCCCGCGGCCGCCCGTCTTCTTCCTCGGACTCTACGTTGGCGGTCCGCGCTCGCTTTGCGCGCCCGGGGTTCCCGTGGGGAGAGCTGCGGGCGCGGGGCGGGGGTCGGCGAGGGACCTCCTCCAGGCCACACCCACAAAGCTCGCGCGTGCAGGTGCAGACCCAGACCCCGGAAGTGGAGCGGGGGCAGCCCGCGAGGCGCGCACGGCGAGACCCGCAGGTGACCCCGAGGTGGGCGGGCGCTGTCAGCCCCGCGTTACACCTGGACACACAGCCTCGCAGAGGTTAGTGGCTTCCTCAAGGTCGCGGAGCCGCCAAGGGGCAGAGCAGGCTGACTTTGGAGGCTCTGTGCTTAGCCGTCAGTGGAGTCCTGGCCCCTGGGTAGCCTGCAGGAGGCACGCACGAAGAGCTCAGTGAATGTCATCCGTCACTAGTTCTTGTCGGTGGCCTCATTTTACAGAGGGAGACCGAGGAGAAGAGAGGCCAAATAACTTCCCCACGGCCTCAGAGCTGGAGCCGGAGCCCCAGACCAGGACACCCCTACAGACAGCCTGTCCTCGCGCTCATCTGCCACTTAAGCTGGGGGTCGGGGGGCTCAGGTGTGTTGAAGCCTGCTTTGGGTGGGCAGGACTTGGCAGGGGGCTGTCTCCACCCAGGTGTGCGAGGCTCTGGGCTGGGGTCTGGGAGGTCTGAGTCCTGAGCTGGCTGTACCAGGCTGGGCTGTGGGGGCGGGGGGCGCACCTCGGTCTCTGTGTTCCCCCAGCTCCATCCTGAGAGGTTACAGGACCCTGCCTCTTTGGAGGAAGGCTCGAGGGGCTTTGGAAGAAAGGAGTGGGGTACTTTTCTGATTCTGAGAGAGGGAGCAGCAGGGTGTCCAGGCTGTTGGGTAGGAGGGAAGCCTGGCCGGCCAGGCCCCAGCAGGAAACGATGACCACACCCTCCTCTTCCCCCTCAGCTGCCCAAGTCCCTCCCCTCTGCAGAGGAGGCCTGGAGGAGGAAGCTGGAATGTGGCATCAAGTGCTTAGAATCCCTCTCTGGTTGTCACCCACTCTGTCATCTGGAGCCACCTACTAGTCCTGAGCCTCTGCGGTGTCCTCTTGCCCTGGGGACCTCTGTGCTTCTCATTATTGACTTCATTATGGGAGCCTGTGTCGTCCTTTGCACTGCACAGACCAAACAATGTGGGGTTAGAACCAAACATGACCCCGGGTTTGCCCTTCGATGGCTGTGACACTGGGGGACTTCATCACCCCTCACCTCATCCACAAAACGTGCCAGCACTGGGATCTAGCTCTTAGGTCCTCGTGAGAGGATGATCGGGGTGAGACTTGCCCAGACTACAGGAGACCCTAGGGACCCCCCTTTCTGCACAGAACGTCAATCACAACAGATGGCAGGGTAGAGGTGGGCCAGTGGGCCACCCCACTTGTGACATCTGGAGCCCACAGGGCCACACTTCCAGGTTCCGTGGCGAGGGGAGCCACTTCTGACTCGGAACTGCTTTCCTGTCTGTACGATGAACGTAAACAGCACGTGCCTTTGTGGGGTGTGAATGCATGCAGTAGGCATGCAGGCTGTATCCCCACCCGGGGCTGCCAAAGTGGGAGACTTACCTCGGACCTCTGGGGAGATTCAAACAAACATTCAGACTTCTGGCTTCTCTTGAAAAATTGGAAAATCTGGGGAAATTGTGTCCCCCTTTTTGCTTGCTCCAGAGTGTTTGTGCATGTGCCCACAGAGGCCTTTCGGGTGAGGGGGAGAGGTTGTTATTGGCCTCTGGCCTGGGGGAAACCCAAGGGGACTGTGGGAATTTACTGGGGGCCTCCTGGGGCCAGGCCCAGGCCTGGGGACATGAGTAAGAGGGTCATGCCTGAGACAAGATAGGGCAGGGACTCCCTAGCCCTGTAGGACCAGGGGCAAACCCAGGGGCCCTTCCTTGGGTATCTGCCATCCAGGATACTCCAGGCCCTGAAGCTGGGAGCAGGGGTAGCAGTCCCATGGAGATTTCCTGCTGCTGTCACGGTGCAGTGTGACAATAACCGCACTGAGGAACCCAGAGCAAGCTGACAGGTCAGGGAAGGGGGAAGGCTCAAAGTGGGTGGTTTTTGAGTTAGCCCCAAAATTTGAGCAGGATTTTTGCCAGAGGTGAGTCAGGGATGTTGAGAACATATTAGGCAGAGAGAATGGCACACTCAGAGGCTTGGTGGCTTGAAGGTACATAACTAGATTGTGACTAGAGGGTTGCTTTCCAAGGGTGGGAGTGGTAAAGGTATTCTCACCATGTGGCCTTGGGCAAGCCACTTCTCTTCTTGGAGCCTCAGACACTCATCTATAAAGTGAGGCTGGATTACCCCCATGACGTCTAACTGCCATTGAAGCCTGGTCGTCGGTGCACTCACAAACGTTGAATCCCCTGAGCCAGGAGGGGTTTATTGAGTGAGACATGCAGTGAATGCGACAGAGCTGTGTATACGTTAAATGGCATGAGGTGAAGGTCAGGGTGCATATAGCCCTGTATTCAGAGAAATTCAGTACAAGCTGGAGACACCACAAACAGCTTCCTGTAAGAGGTGGGATGCGAGGAGAGCCTCAAACAGCAGAAAAGAGGAATGGGTTGGTAGAAAGGAAGACACAGGGCATCCAGGCAGAGAGTCCAGCCTGAGCAAAGGTAGGAAGATGGCTGATGGGAACACCAAGGGGGAGCACCACCATGATTGTGGGAGAGGGAATAGGGAGAGGTGAGCCCTAAAGATTTGGGCAGGCAGAGCTTGTTAAGTGCAGCCCCCAAGGCCAGGCCTACATGCATTTGGCAGGGAGCCACCGTAAGCTCTAACCCTATAAAGGAGGCAGGGATAATCTTACACATGTAGGTACCTTCAAATGTGGGGTTTTATAATTGCTTTTACGTGGCAGGGAAAATAAAAGGTTGAAAGCCATAGGAGGTGAAGGAAGACTTGATGATGAACCGATTGAAGAAGCATCCCTTTGTGTATTCACAATTTTTCTCATACATACATAGTTTTAACTGTGATGGATAGAGTTTGGCATTCCAGCTAACATCTGTAGCACTGCATCGTGAACCTGATCTTGTGTTGCTTAGAGATCTGCAGGCAGCCCATTGGGCACCATCCTCAGTCATTGTGTTGCTGGCTGCACATCCACAGTGATACTGGTTGTTTTGGGTCTAAACATTGCCATAAGCATGTCTTTTCCCCAAACTTCCTTCTGGGTGATTTCCACTGGATACCTTTCCTGAAAGGGAATTTCTGACTGTAAGGGAACAAAAGTTTTTATGGCTTAAAAGATGTAAAATCTACTCTTTGATAATAGTTTTCTTTAAAATTTTCAGTAGGTTATACTGCATAGGACTTTTAAAAAAGCAAATGGGCTGGGTGCAGTGGCTCACACCTGTAATCCCTGCACTCTGGGAGGCTGAGGCAGGAGGATCCCTTGAGCTCAGGAGTTTGAGACCAGCCTGAGCAAGAGCGAGACCCGTCACTACTAAAAATGGAAAAAATTAGCTGGGTGTGGTGGCGCATGCCTGTAGTCCCAGCTACTCGGGAGGCTGAGGCAGTAGGATCACTTGAGCCCCGGAATTTGAAGTTGCTGTGAGCTAGGCTGACACCACTGCACTCTAGCCCAGGTGACAGAACAAGACTGTCTCAAAAAGAAAAGAAAAAAAAGAAAATGTACATAGTCTATCCTTCTGACTGAGTTCTCCTTTCCAGTGCTCCCTGAAGAAAACTGTTAATCAGTTTCCTGTATATCCTTCTAGAAATATTATATGCAAATGTATATGCCCAATTAAAACAAGCAAACAAAAACCTGATACATACTGTTACACCTGCTCAGCATCTTGGTTTCAATTTTATTTTTAAATTTGGGATGATGAAATATGTCAAAGAAGCATAGGAAATGAACCCCTCACCCCTGCCCTAGTAGCCCACCATACAGGTTTAACAGATGTTAACGTTATGCATTGGTGACGTTTTTGTTATGGCTGTCTCGGGGGTAGCCCCATGTCACCTCCACCTGCCTCTCTGTGGTAGCTGCACAGGAGTCCAGTTATCACTTCCATGGATCCACCCACCATTCTTTATTAGGCCTATACCTAGCTCTTGGATATTCAAGGTATTACTGATTTTTTTCTTTTTTTTTTTTTGCTTATATAATACTCAGTTCACTGGGCAATACTCCATTCTGTATAATGTCTGCCTAGGGAGGCACCGAGGCGCAGGAGAACAAGGCTTTGGTTGGGTTCAAGTTCCTGCCCCGCCACACTTGCTAGCGGTGTGACCTGGGGTTGCGCGGAGGGCCTCAGTTTCCCCATCTGTGAAATAGACTGGCTGTGGTTATCCCTGCGTCTCGAGGCTGCTGGGAGGAGTAGAAAACTGACAAACAGAGGCCTCATTGGGTTCAGTTCTCCCGGGAAGGGAGCTCTCAGCGAGGACGCCCAGCCCCCCCAGGCCCAGCCTGGGGCACCGAGAGCGCCCCGCGTCCGCAGTTCGGCCTTAGACTCCAGGCTGGGCCCCACCCCTTTCTCCCCCGGCCACGCAGGGGGCGGGGCGGTTAAACGCCTCTGTGACGTCAGCGCGCGCCGGACCAATCCTCCTGCCCGGCGGGCGTCAGCTCATTTGCATGGGCCGCCCGCCATTGGTCTGTTGGGCAGCCCGGGCCGTCCCAGCTTCTTAAAGACGCCGGGTAGTATAAACAAAGAGATGTGGGGCGGCCAGGCCATGATGTCATCGCGGCGCTGCAGCCCCGCGGGTGACGTCACCTCTGGGAAAGTTGCCGGCCCGGGGCTGTTGGGGTCGTCCTGACCACTTGGGCCGACTTGAGAGGCCGCTCCCGCGCCGTCGAAGGTCGGCCCTATTGCACTTCGGCGTCCCAGGCGGCGCCCGGTCCCCGCGGAGGGGACTATGACACAGTAAGTCCGCGCTGCGGCTCTCCCGGCGAGACCCATTTCCCCGGCAGGGAAACTGAGCCCCAGCTTGCGCGCGCAGTTCGCAAGTTTGCATTAGCACGTTCTAGTTGCAGCCGGTCGGTCGTGCCCACCTCGGGGTCTCCTCATCTTTAGGTCGGGCCGTGTTGCCCCGCCCCTCGCCTTGACTACCGCTGCGGTCGCTTTAAGTGCGAAGGTGGGAGGGAAGAGGAGGTTTTTAAAAAAAAAAAACAAAAACCTGTCTCAAGATGGCGGTCCGCTAGTCACGTGCCTGGCAGAGGCGAGTGATTGGCTGTCGGAGCCTCCGCGGGGCGGAGCTCCCGGCGCGGGGCGGGGCCGCCGCGGGGTTGCAGACGGCTACTGTTTCCTGGAGCCTCCGGGCGCGCCCCCGCGGATCCCCCCTCCCTCCCGGCGCGCGACTCCGCCGATTCGAATGTTGTGAATCAAATGTGGGGTTTGTTACATTCCGCCGCCGCCGCGGACAGTTCTTAAAGGGCCCGCCGCCGCCGCCGGCCGCGCAAACCCAGCCGCGTCCCGACGGCCGCCTCCCGCTGCCGGAGGCCCGGGGCGGAGAGACGCTGAGCGCGCGGGGGGCCCCGCGAGAGGCGGGCGCCGTCGGGCGGACAACAAAGAGAGGGCCCCGGAAGGAGCCGGGCTGCCCGCGGACCGGGGGGTGGGGAGGGGAGCGCGTCGTTCCGCAGGGCGGGGGCTCTTAAAGGGTCCGGGCGCCCCCCGCCCCCCGCCCCGCTGGGCGGCCCTAGGGCGGGAACAAAGGAGTCCGCGCGTGGCCGGGCGGCCGGAGGTGAGTCGGGGCCGGGGGCCCCCCAACTCCCCATCCCCGCACCCCGAAACTCCGCTTCCCCTCCCCGGGGGTGGGGGCCTGGGACCTGGCCGGCCCCGCAGGGGTTAACCCCGGGCGGCCTCCTGGGCCGGGGCTGGCGAGGCCCCCGGGGCCGGGCCCCCTCCCCGAGGCCCCGGGCCGGGCCGGGCTCCCCCTGCGGCGCCGGGCGCTGCGGTTGGCGAGGAAGGGCCGCCCCTCCCCCTGCGGCCGCCGCTTCCTTTGTTGTTGCTTTTGTCTCACGCCGAGCACATGGTCCGGGACCCGCGGCTCTTAAAGTCACAGCGCCCCGGCCGCGCGGCCTGGCCGCCCGCCCCAGCGCCCTCCGCGCGCGGCACAAGGGGTCGGGAGGGGCTCGGGAGGCCGCTCCGGCCCAGGGCGTGCGCGCCTCGGCCCCGCCAGCCCGCCCCGGGGAGGGGGCCTGAGGAAGCGTCCTGTACCCCCACCGCGAGTCTGCTCCTCCCGGCCCGCTTTGGGCAGGGACAGTGGCTTCCTCCCCCCCCCACTAATGTGATGCTTTCTTTTTTTGTCTCTTCTGGTCCTATTTGGGCGCTCTGGGAAGGGGACACTTCCACCCCCATTTTACAGCTGTGGCAACTGAGGCTCGTAGAAGTGAAGGGATTTCCTTGACCAAGGTCACCCAGGGGGTCTGGGCTGGCCGAGGACTCCCCGCGCCCCCTGTGATGGTCTAGTCCTCAGTGGCCTGCAGGCACCCCACGTTGGAGACCGCTTGTGGCTGGGCCTGACTCTCTTGGGATGGGAGGGGCAGAGGAGAAGGACTTCTTTTCCTGCCTGAAACTACTCACGCTCCCAGAGTCTTGACTTTGCTCTTCTCCAAAAGGGAAGTGCTTCTTCCCGCAAACAGACCACAAGCCCAAACGACCTGCGAGGGGCTCCCTAGACCAGGATCAGGCAGCTGCTTGGGGCACTGGATTTAAGAAGTTGGCTAGGGATGGGGGACTGCACAGCACGGTGCCTGCCTCCAGGCAAGCTTAGGCTTCCAGAGGGGACTCTCAAGACCCCTTTGCGCCCACCTCGCCAACAGCACAGCACAGAGGAGGTATGGAGAGGCAGAGCGGTCCGGGTGGGCACCTGGCTGTCCTTGCTGCTTGACCTTGAGCCAGTTGCCAGCGTCTACTGTGGGCCTCAATTGCCTCTTTACACAGCAGAGCTAATCACGGGTGTCTGAAAGCAAATGCTGTCCCTACCTCCTTTATGGCTTTGAATACAGATTTGGGATTAGGTGCTTTCCTCACTCTACTAGTGCCAATGAGTTGGGGATTGGGGGAGTCTGGGCCTAGGGCCAGCTGGGTCCAATTCTGTTCCTCTCTGAATTTGTGGCCTAGAGCAAGTTACTTCCTTAGTCTGGCCCTCAGTTTTCTCAACTGCGAAGTGGGTGTGCTTCCTCTGTGCTCCCTCTGTTCCTGGTAGAACTTAAAGAACCAAGAGCCACTCCCTTCTCAACTGGGGTATTCCCCTGCGGCAGGCAGGCAGCGTATTTCCTTATATTTCCCTGTTGTCCCCTGCAGAGCTTGAAGTGGGGTAATGAGCATTTACACCCAAGCTGAGTTCAGACTTTATCAATCGCTAGTTATTGGGCTGTTCCCATTTTACAGATGGGGAAGTTGAAGATCAGAGAGGGGAAACCATGAGTGCAAGGTCTTCAGCCAAGACTGCAGAAGTCAGGGGTGCCATGTGAGAGAGGGAGGGTTGGCACCGTCACCCACGGCCAGAGGCCCTTCTTTCTGTTGGTTTCTCAGCTCCTTACCGTCTTCCCTTCCTGGAGGAATGGGTGTAGGGAGCTGGCCGCGGAGCAGACTCTCATGGCCTGGGCCTCTGTGGGAATCCTTCGAGCCTTGGCACTGCCTCGCCACCAGCGAGACCACCTGGCACAAAAGGAGCAGTGGAGGCCACTGGCTTGGTGATTAATCATGGGTGCTTTATGGTCACACTGCCTGGGTCATGGCCCAGCGCACTCAGTTCCAGCTGACTGGCCTTGGACCTCACCTCTGTGCCTCCGTGTTCTTCCCTCGGAGGGTTGCTAGGAAGACTGGCAAGCTGGCACCTGGGAAGTAGCTTAGTTACCACTGTTAGTGTCCATCAGCAGCAGAACTGTGGATTCCCAGCATCTCTGAGGTTAGCTGAGCAGAGGTTCCCAAACCTAGCTGTGCTACAGACACTTTTGGGGAATTTGATAACAACCTACGTGCCCTTGTTCCCCGGTCCTCCAAAGCTTCTGGCCCAGAAGGTCTGGGATGAGCTAGGAGTGCGTTGTTTCAGATACTTGGGGATTGCCTCCGAGTCTCCCTTGACCCTGCTTGCTGGCTTGGGTCGTCAGCAGGATTTGGGTAGGCTGTGCGCTTGGCCCATGCCAGGGAGCACAGACTCGGTCACCTGTGGTCTTTGGGCAGAGATCGGACCTGGGGAGACCTGGAGAGAGACCTCTTGCTCCGGGCGAGGGGGCCAAGCAGAAATAAAGCCCGTCAGGACCAGGTTTTCCAGTTTTTTTCCCCCTCCAACAAGGGGCCGGGTCTTTTCAGTAATCTTTCTAATCATTGGAAGTAATGTCATTGCTGCCAGCCTCTGTGGCCTTTGACCTGTACGATCGGCTCTCTTCAGGCCGCAGTTGTCACATCAGCCTGCTGCCCTGTGCTAGACACAAGCTGGTCACTGGGCCCTGGAGTTCCGTGGGAGAACTGTGAATTCCAGCTCTTGCACTTCACACCGCTGTGGTCTTGGCCTGGCGCCGTCCTAAAAATTGGGGGGGGGATCCTCCCACGCAGGCTCCTTTTGAGAGGTAGGGCCCAAGCCCTGCACAGGGGGAGCGGTTGCTGCTGCCGTTGGCAGGAAGGGACGAGGCGTTGAGCCGCGGGTCACACTGGCTCCTGGCTGTGTCGGCAGGGAGGTGGCGCGGAGAGCTGGGTGCCGGAGATGCAGAGGAGTTGTGTTAGGTGGAGACCGCGGCGGAGGGGCTCTCCCTGTGGCAGGAACAGCAAAGGGCTGGCTCTGTTTGATGTACCCTTCAGCTTCTCAGGGCCCGGTAGCTTCCAGAGCTTTCCCTGCCAGCCCCCGTCCCAACCTCTGGTGTTCATGAATGGAGGCCTGGGGTGCAGCCAGGTACCCCCAACTTCCGCCGCCTGGCCCCTCAGCTCTAACCTGAGGGGGGTGACCCTGCCCCAGCCCGTTCCTCCTCAACTTCCTCTCTCAGGTTCTTGCTTCCCCTTTTTTCTCAGCAGGCCCCACCTCCCACTCTGGGGGCTGCGTTGGGCCCCCAGACTGCAGTCTCCCCGTGAGTGACTCGCTTCCTTCATCTTCTCCTGTGAAGCTTGGGCTGGTCCCCCCCTGGTGGCGGCAGGGTACACAGAGAAGCTGCCGTTGGCCCAGCGGTTTTGACACTTGCTGTGGGGCCTTGGGCAAGCCTCTACCTTTTGCGGAGCCTCGGCTGTCTGTGTAAAATGAGTGACAGCACCTTCCCTGAAGAGCAGATGAAGTCACACTAGAGTAGGCCCTGCGGAACAAGTTAAAGAAAGAATACGATCTTGCCTTGGACTGGAAGCCTTGAGGGCGGGAACCAGGTTAGACCCTCTTACCTGGCAATAGTGGGAGGAAGACTGGGTCTCAGGCCTGTTTGGAATCCTTCCTGAGCCAGCCAGGTGAAAGGGGGGAAGCTGGAGTCTCCCCAGGAACCCCCAGCTGCTGAGAGGCCAAGCTGGGGCCCCTGGCGTAAGGCAGAGGAAGGCCCTTGCCCGCAAGGCCCGGGGCAAGACAGGTGCCCGGGCGGCCCTGCCCAGGGAGGGCTTCACGGAGCCAGCCGGTCTGGGAGCGTGCTGGCCCGCTCTGGCCTTGCCGCGGCTCTGAGGGGCTTGGTCCCACTGCGCAGAGCAGGACGCTGAGGTCTAGGCTCCTGGCAGGCTGAGCCTGTTCCTGGGCTGTCAGCGCTGGACCCCAGTGCCCAGAGGAGGCCCGAGCCAGAGCGCACATGTAGCCCAGGGCACGGTGAGCATCACTGGTCCCTGGAATCGCACCGTAGGGATGTCATTCTGTCTCCCCAACCCCCCAAAAGCACCTGGCCTTCTCTGTGCCTCAGTTTCTTTGTCTGCTTGCCTCCTAGGGTTGTGAGCCCCGGCCCAGGCCCGCTACCCCTCAACCCACCTGATGCAACCATGGGCTCTGGCGGTGACTAGGTGGCCACCCTGTGTCCCTGTGGGTCATCGGCGATTTTCTGCAGGACCCGGCAGCGCTCCTGGCCAGCTGCGGGGCAGGTAGGAAGGAGCCTCCCGGTCCTGATGCTGCTGGGCTGCCAGCTTGGCTGGGGCACAGGGGCTGGGAGGCAGAAACAGGGCCCTGAGCGAGCCTCCCTCCTCAATGGGGGTAGCGACCAGCTTTCGTCCTTGCTCTGTGAATGAGTGGCCCCCCTCAGTCCTATCAGGGCCTCCTCTCTGTGGCGCAGCCCCGGCCGCGAGGGCCCCCCGGCCAGCCTGCCTGCCCAGCATGAGCGCTTCCCCTCCCAGCAGCCACTGCCGCGAGCGCCGCACCTCCCCGTAGAGCAGCACCGAGCCGTGGCTCCTGCCGGCGGGAGCCCCCGAATGCTGCACCCAGCCGCCCAGCAGAGCCCGTTCATGGTCGATCTCCACGAGCAGGTAGGCACAACACCCCCCAGCCCTGTTGCCCCTACTCCCTGGGAAGCCAGTCTGCGAAGCAGAGGCCTCATTTCGCCTTGCTCGTTCCATGTCCTAGGGAGGCTTTGTTAGCCCTATTTTATAGGTAGGTAAACTGAGGCCCAGAGAAGGGGAAGGGCCTTCCCTGTGGCCATACTGGATGACTGGCAGAGCTGAGCCCCTCTCGGATACCCAGAGGCCTCTGTCTGCCCTGGGGGCCTGCAGCAGGAGCAGTCTGGTCTGTCCCTAGGTAGGGCCGGGGAGGGAGCTGGCCCCGGGAGGGCTTCTCTCCCGAGAGCGGCTTGCATGGCCAGGCTTCCTCCCTACACTTCCCTGGCTCTCTCCACCCACAGGTGCACCAAGGGCCTGTCCCTCTGTCCTACACGGTCACCACAGTGACGACCCAAGGCTTCCCCTTGCCTACAGGCCAGCACATCCCTGGCTGCAGCGCCCAGCAGCTCCCAGCATGCTCCGTGATGTTCAGCGGGCAGCACTACCCCCTCTGCTGCCTCCCGCCCCCGGTGAGTGAGCGTTGGCACCTCCCGCTCTGCCCCGTGCCAGCCCCGGGCGCAGGCCAACCCTGGACGGGGCCGAGCTGAGCGTGCCCGTGCTGGCTGTCAGGACTGCCGGCCTGCAGGCCACACTCCCCCCAGAAAATCATGCGTGTGCGTCCACACACGGCTGTGGAGTGTTTCGGGCTTCTCGGCACAGGCACGGAGCTTAGGCTCGGGGTTACCAGCGTAGTGGCTGCCTCTGCGGCCTGGGGCAGGGAGTGGGCTTCCAGAGGGTTTCTTGTGCAGGCCCTGGAGCTGGTGGGTGTGTGTCGTGCGGTGGAGCCTTTTGCTGGATGCCACGGCCCCCGGCCGGCCTCGTCCCAAGCATAGGCCCAGCCCAGAGCCCAGAACATTCTCTAGTCCCCCCAACCGCCTGCCCGCCTTGTCTCTCTCTTGGCAGCTGCTCCAGGCGTGCACCATGCAGCAGCTCCCCGTGCCCTACCAGGCGTTCCCCCACCTCATCTCCAGTGACCACTACATCCTGCACCCCCCGCCGCCGGCCCCGCCCCCCCAGCCCGCCCACATGGCGCCTCTTGGGCAGTTTGTGTCTCTGCAGACCCAGCACCCGCGCATGGTGAGTGTGGGGGTGGGTCTCATGTGAGAGGGGTGGCATCTGGGGCCGTCCGGGTCTTACTGGCTGGCTCGCCCGTCCCTGCCTCCTGCAGCCCCTGCAGCGGCTGGACAACGACGTGGACCTGCGGGCGGACCAGCACCCTCTGGGCGGCTTCACCTACTCCACGTCCGCCCCCGGCCCCGCCCTGTCCCCGCCAGTGCCCCTGCACTACCTGCCCCACGACCCGCTGCACCAGGAGCTGTCCTTCGGTGTGGTGAGTACCGCCCCAGCGCCCACCCGGCTGCAGGGCCGTGGCCTGGGCGGCCGGCGGGCTGACCTGCTCCCGGCCCCCTCACGCAGCCGTATTCGCACGTGATGCCGCGGAGACTGAGCACCCAGAGATACCGCCTGCAGCAGCCGCTGCCCCCGCCGCCCCCACCGCCGCCCCCGCCGCCTTACTACCCCAGCTTCCTGCCCTACTTCCTGTAAGTACCGGCACGTCTGCACCACGGCGCGGTGCCCTGTTCCCTGTCTCCAGGGGGAAGTCCCAAACACGGCCCCTGAGCTCCCAAACCTTGTGGCACCCCCACCATGCCAGGCGTGTGTGCACACACTCACGCACACACGCGCGTACACACACACGCCAGTCGGGCTCCTGCCCCTCTACAGCGTTCTGCAACGAACACGAGGGTCCCGGAGTTTATGTTTTGTGTGACTCCTGCCCGTGTGCCTGTGATAAATTTTTATGATTTTTCTACTGTTAAAATAAAAACCCAGGCCGGGCGAGGTGGCTCACGCCTGTCATCCTAGCTCTCTGGGAGGCCGAGGCGGCGGATTGCTCAGTGTCAACCTGAGCAATGCTAGGATGTGCCGCCCCACACGCGGTTCGTTCAGGGCAGCAAGCCCAGCTGGGGGTAGGAGAGGAAAAGAGCGGGACCAGGGGAGGAGGGCGGGGAGCTCAGCCAGACCCTGGAGGGGACCCCTGGACAGGGGCGTCCACGCCCTCCCTGGTCCTCATGCTCCTGGGACTTCCTTGGAGGAGACTCACCCAGGCAGGTGGGACACGGGCCCTGGCTAGAGCGGGAGAAATGCCCTGAAAACGCGCGGTCCCGGTGGGCTCGAGGGAGGTGCTCGAGGCAATTGCTCAAAACCAGCCTGAGCAAGAGCGAGACCCTGTCTCTACTATAAATAGAAAAAAAAATTAATTGGCCAACTAATATATATAGAAAAAAAATCAGCCGGGCATGGTGGCGCATGCCTGTAGTCCCAGCTACTCAGGAGGCTGAGGCAGGAGGATTGCTTGAACCCAGGAGGTTGAGGTTGCTGTGAGCTAGACTGACGCCACGGCACTCACTCTAGCCTGGGCAACAAAGTGAGACTCTGTCCCAAAAAGAAAAAAAAAAGAACTCATGTCAGATACATAAAAACTCAAAAGCCAAAAGGTGAACATATATTTTACCAAAGAGGATATTTCATGTACTTATAAAAAGATGTTTAACACATTTAGCCAGTAGGGAAATGCAAATTAAGCCACAATGAGATATTATTACACACCTATTAAAATAACTAAAAAAAGTAGTGACTATCACTTTCTGGCAAGAATGTAGAGAAACTGGATTTCTCATTGCTGGCGGGAATGTAAAATGGTACAGCCACTGTGGAATACAGTTTGGCAGTTTGTTTTAAAACTAAGCAATTACTTATACCCTCCTGGACATTTATGTCAGAAAAATAAAGACATTTACACGCAAAAAGATGTGCACAATTTGCTGATGTGGCACCTTTGGGAAAAAGAGAAAAAGGAGGCCAGGTGTAGTGTCTCATGCCTGTAATCCCGGAGGCCAGGTGTAGTGGCTCATGCCTGTAATCCCCCAAGGTGGGGGAGGATCACTTGAGGCCAGGAGTTTGAGACCAGCCTGGACAACATAGACCCGTCTCTACAAAAAAATTTAAAAATTATCTGGTTGTGGTGGTGCATGCCGGTAGTTCTAGCTACTTGGGAGGCTGAGGCAGGAGGATGACTTGAGCCCAGGGGTTCGAGGTTACAGTGAGCGAGGATCACCCCACTGAACTCCAGCCTGAGTGACAGAGCAAAACCCTGTCTCTAAAAAAAAAAAAAAGAATAAAAAAATACGAATGTTCATGCTTCCCCTTGCCTACAGGCCAGCACATCCCTGGCTGCAGGCCCAGCAGCCTCCAGCATGCTCCGTGATGTTCAGCGGGCAGCACTACCCCCTGCTGCCTCCCGCCCCGGTGAGTGAGCGTTGGCACTCCCGCTCTGCCCCGTGCCAGCCCCGGGCGGCAGGCCAACCTGGACGGGGCCGAGCTGAGTGCCCGTGCTGGCTGTCAGGACTGCCGGCCTGCAGGCCACACTCCCCCAGAAATCATGCGTGTGCGTCCACACACGGCTGTGGAGTGTTTGGGCTTCTCGCACAGGCACGGAGCTTAGGCTCGGGTTACCAGCGTATGGCTGCCTCTGCGGCCTGGGCAGGGAGTGGCTTCCAGAGGGTTCTTGTGCAGGCCCTGGAGCTGGTGGGTGTGTGTCGTCGGTGGAGCCTTTTGCTGGATGCCACGGCCCGGCCGCCTCGTCCCAAGCATAGGCCCAGCCCAGAGCCCAGAACATCTCTAGTCCCCCAACCGGCCGCCCCGCCTTGTCTCTCTGAGCTGCTCCAGGCGTGCACCATGCAGCAGCTCCCCGTGGCCTACCAGGCGTCCCCACCTCATCTCCAGTGACCACTAATCCTGCACCCCCCGCCGCCGGCCCCGCCCCCCAGCCGCCCACATGGCGCCTCTTGGGCAGTTTGTGTCCTGCAGACCCAGCACCCGCGCATGGTGAGGTGTGGGGGTGGTCCCACGTGAGAGGGTGGCATCTGGGCCGTCCGGTCTCACTGGCTGGCTACCACCCCTGCCTCCTGCAGCCCTGCAGCGGCTGGACAATGACGTGGACCTGCGGGCGGACCAGCACCCTCTGGGCGGCTTCACCTACTCCCACGTCCGCCCCGGCCGCCCTGTCCGCCAGTGCCCTGCACTACCTGCCCCACGACCCGCTGCACCAGGAGCTGTCCTTCGTGTGGTGAGTACCGCCCCAGCGCCCACCGGCTGCACGTGGCCTAGCGGGCCGGCGGCTGACCTGCTCCCGGCCCCTCATGCAGCCGTATTCGCACGTGATGCCGCGGGACTGAGCACCCAGAGATACCGCCTGCAGCAGCCACTGCCCGCCGCCCCCACCGCCGCCCACGCCTTACTACCCCAGCTTCCTGCCCTACTTCCTGTAAGTACCGGCACGTCTGCACCACGGCGCGGTGCCCTGTTCCCTGTCTCCAGGGGAAGTCCCAAACACGGCCTCTGAGCTCCCAAACCTTGTGGCACCCCGCCATGCCAGGCGTGTGTGCAACACTCACGCACACACGCGCGTACACACACACGCCAGTCGGCTCCTGCCCCTCTACAGCGTCTGCAACGAACACGAGGGTCCCGGAGTTTATGTTTTGTTGACTCCTGCCCGTGGCCTGTGATAAATTTTATTGATTTTTCTACTGTTAAAATAAAACCCAGGCCGGCGCGGTGGCTCACGCCTGTCATCCTAGCTCTCTGGAGGCCGAGGCGGCGGATTGCTCAGTGTCAACCTGAGCAATGCTAGGATGTGCCCCCCACACGCGGTTCGTTCAGGGCAGCAACCCAGCTGGGGGTAGAGAGGAAAAGAGCGGGGCCAGGAGGAGGGCGGGGAGCACCAGACCTGGAGGGACCCCTGGACAGGCGTCCACGCCCTCCCTGGTCCTCATGCTCCTGGGACTTCCTTGGAGGAGACTCACCCAGGCAGTGGGACACGGGCCCTGGCTAGAGCGGGAGAAATGCCCTGAAAACGCGCGGTCCCGGTGGGCTCGAGGGAGGTGCTCGAGGCAATTGCTCAAACCAGCCTGAGCAAGAGCGAGACCTGTCTCTACTATAATAGAAAAAAAATTAATTGGCCAACTAATATATATAGAAAAAAATCAGCGGCATGGTGGCGCATGCCTGTAGTCCCAGTACTCAGGAGGCTGAGGCAGGAGGATTGCTTGAACCCAGGAGGTTGAGGTTGCTGTGAGCTAGGCTGAGCCACGCTCACCTAGCCTGGGCAATAGAGTGAGACTCTGTCTAAAAAAAAAACCCACCAGGGTCCCCGGT